GGTTTGTCATACATAGCCTTTACAATGTTGAGGTACTTTCCTTCTATTCCTAGTTTTCTTAGAGCTTTTATCATGAACTGGTGTTGGATCTCATAGAATGCTTTTTCTGCATCTATTGAGATGATCAAGTGGTTTTTGTCTTTGCTTCTATTAATGTGCTGTATTACATTTATAGAGTTCCATATGTTGAACCACCCCTGCATCCCTGGGATGAAGCTGACTTTTTCATGGTGAATGATCTTTCTGATTTGTTGTTGGATTCAGTTTGCCATTATTTTACTGAGGATTTTTGCATTGTTGTTCATTAAGGAGATAGGCCTATCATTCTTCTTTTTGAAGGTGTCTTTGTTTCCTTTGGAGGTGTTTTGGGATGAGTGTAATACTGGCTTCATAAAATGAGTTAAGCAGTGTTCCTTCCCTTTCTATTTCATGAAGCAGTTTAAGGAGGGTTGGTATTAGTTCTTCTTTAAAGGTCTGATAGAATTCATCAGGTCCTGGACTTTTCTTTTTTAGGAGACTCTTTATTGCTGCTTCAATTTCATTTTGTGTTATAGATCTATTTGGGTGATTAATATCCTCCTCATTCAATTTTGGATGGTCATAAGTATCTAGAAATCTGTCCACTTCTTCAAGATTTTCAAATTTGCTAGAATATATGTTCTCAAAGTAGTCTCTGATTATTTCCTGGATTTTGTGGCATTTACTGTCATCTCCCTTTTTGCTGATGAGGGTTTTTACTCTCCTCATTTTAGTCAAGTTTGCCAGGGTCTGTCAATCTTATTTATTTTTTCAAAGAATCAGCTTTTTGTTTGTTGATTCTTTGTATGTTTTTTGCTGTTGTTGTTTCTATTTCATTAATTTCAGCCCTTATTTTTATTATTTCTCTCCTTCTGCTTGTTTTGGGATTTGCTTGTTCTTGTTTTTCTAGGATTTTGAGACTTAGCATTAGGACATTGATTTGAGATCTTTTGTCATTTTAATATATGCAATCATAGATATAAACTTTCCTCTTAGGACTGTCTTTGCTGTGCCCCATAAGTTCCGGTACATCATGATTTCATTTTCATTAAAATCCAGGAAACTTTTAATTTTCTCTTTAATTTCTTCAATGACCCATTGATCATTGAGCAATGTGTTGTTTTGCTTCCAATTGTTTCCATGTTTTTACTGTTTTTGTTGTTGAGTTCTAGTTTTAATGCATTGTGATCAGATAGAATGCATGGGATTATTTTTATTTTCTTATATTTGCTGAGGCTTGCTTTGTGCCCTAAGATGTGATCAATTTTAGAGAAGGTTCCATGGGCTGCTGAGAAGAACGTATATTGTGCAGAAGTTGGATGAAATATTCTATAGACATCAGCTAGGTACATTTGATTTGTGGTGTGATTTAGTTCTAGAATTTCTTTATTGATTTTTTGTTTGGATGACCTATCTATTGATGATGGGGGGGTATTAAAGTCTCCCACTACCACTGTGTTGGGGTCTATATATGTTTTAGGTTCTTCAGAGTTGTTTGAGGAAATGGGTGCATTGACATAGGGTGCATATAGGTTGATAACTGTTATTTCCTTTTGGAGTATTTCCCCTTTTATTAGAATGGAGTGTTCTTTATTTCATTTGATCAATGTAAGTTTGAAGTCTACTTTGTCTGAGATAAGTATTTCAACTCCTGCCTGTTTTGGGGGGCCATTGGCTTGGTAAATCTTCATCCCGTCTTTCACCTAAGCCAGTGCTTGTTTCTGTCAATGAGATGGGTCTCCCGTAAGCTACAGATTGTTGGATCTTCCTTTTAATCCAGTTTGCCAAATGGTGTCTTTTGATGGGGGAATTAAGTCCATTAACATTCAGTGTTAGCATTGATAGGTATGTGGTGATTCCTGTCATTTAGTTGTTTCTGTTGTTTAAGAGTTTGATTGTGTGCAGCTGAGTCAATGTTACTCTCTTCTTTATTGTCTTTTCTTCTCCTGTGGTTTGGTACTGCTTATGCTTTCATGGTTTTGCTTGCTTTCATTTTTTGTGTGCAGAATTCCTTGAAGAATCTTTTAGTGGTGGCTTGATGGTCATATATTGTGTTAGTTTCTGCTTATCATGAAAGGCTTTAATTGCTCCATCTATTTTGAATGATAGTTTTGCTGGGTAGAAAATCCTAGGGTTGAAGTTATTTTCATTCAGTGCACAGAAGACCTCATTCCATGCTCTTCTTGCTATTAAGATTTCTGTTGAGAAATCTGCTGTGATTTTTATGGGTTTACCTTTGTATCTTATTTGTTTTTTCTCTCTTAAATCATTCAATATTCTTTCTGTATTCTCTGTGCTTATTGTTTTAAAGATAATATGTTGTGGGGTAGTTCTATTTTGGTCAAGTCTGTTTGATGTCCTGGAGGCTTTCTATACCTGTAACTTTCTCTAGATTTGGGAAATTTTCTGTTATTATTTTATTGAATATATTACAAATTCCTTTTGTCTGTACTTCTTCTCCTTTTCAATGCCCATGATTCTCAGGTTTGTCTTTTGATGGAGTTGGTGAGTTCTTGCATACTCCTTTCACAGGTCTTGAATTGTTTGACTAATAGCGCCTCAGTTTTTCCTTGAATTTCCATTTCATCTTCAAGTTCTGAGATTCTTTCTTCTGCTTGTTCTAGTCTGATGGAGTGGCCTGAGTGGCCTTCTATTGTGTTTTATATTTCTGTTTATATATTATCAAATTTAACATTGAAAATAATATTATGAAGTTTATACTTGAGTTAGTCTTATTAAATTTAGGCAAAAGCAGTTTTTCAGAGAAGTTACGCAACCTTACTACAACAACCTAAGGAATTTCAGAACTTGAGCTCTTAAAATTTTAATGGGAAGATATAGGTGCCCACAATGAAAATGTTCAAGAAGAATCTATGAGAGTTGACTTAGCAAACATTGCACACAGGCCTCAAGGGTTGTTTATTCAACAAGTATTTATGAAACATCTACTACATGCATGGTATTCACAGCTGCAAAGAAGAGTAACAATGAATAGTCCTGCCCTTGACAGCTTACAGTCTAATGAGAAACATATATAAATAATTATAATAGATAATAGGGTGATGATGTCATAAATGTAAAAAATAATGGAAAGGAGACCCCATTCTACCAAGGAGGAAGATAGTCAGTAAAGGCCTTATAAGGGAAGCAATTTTCACCTCAATCTTCAGAACTTAAAGTATTTTTCCATCTCAAAAAGAAAGGTAATCATTCCAGATACAATAGCACAATAGGCACATTTCCTCTGGATTAATGATGGCTACTGTGACATGGTTAATGGAGACACCAAAGAAAATAAGGAAGATTTACGGTGCACTTACAAACACCATTCACCTAAATATTGGTCAATACAGACAGAAGAAACAGAAAATCTTCAAGGCATATAGCATCCCCAACATTCTCCATTCCACCTGTTCCAGGAAAGCTACAGACACTAGTTCACCTAATCTTCAAAAAAGGTGGACAAATTCAGTCCATTGGGTTTGTAATTTCAAAACTGAAACAGGCTAATTTTATTATGTTCTCTAAATTTCTCACAATACTATGGAACTACAGTTTTATGTGGAGATTCTGAGTGGTGAAATAACAACATAGACACAACTCTCAGCTCACTTCAAGAGAAATACAGACATTAATGGAATGAGCATGGTATGTTCTATACTTTTACTTCTACATGAGATTAAAATTATTTCCTTTTTGTGAAAAATGTTTAGATTTGACTGTTTCTGTTGACAGGTAGAATCTATGCCATTTTGAATGTTGCACACTGTAAATTCACCCAAAGACTATTTTTTTGTGCGAACATGTCACAAGATGTAGAGAATTTCTGATGATCAGAATCATTTGGTCTATGGTACAAGATTCCAAGAGCCAATCAGAAGAATAGAGATTGAAGTGAGGGGGGTTACGGGGGACAGGGGAGAGGTGGGGGGCAGGGGGCAGAAATGGCCCAAACAATATATGCACATATGAATAAATGAATAAATTTTTAAAATTCAAAAAAGAAGAATAGAGAAATTCAATAGAATTTTTAAACCTTTTGAAATCACTGTAAGAAGAGGAGTAATGTAGAAAGGAGAAAAATGGAGGAGATGAACCAATTCAGAATATAATACATATGTATACGGAAATGTCATAATGAAACTCCCTGTATAGCTATCTTAAACAAAACATATGTCTTTTTTCAAAAACAAACAATAAGAAAGTAAAACAGGCCCTGTCTGGGGATTGGTAGCCATGGGAGTGGGAGGATATAAGGAAAGGATAGAGGGTGACTTTGGTGGAAATTTATGTACTCAAGTATGAAAATGGAAAAATGAGATCTGTTGAAACCATTCAAAAAGGGGCAGTGGTTTGATGAAGGAGAATGATGGAGGGGTGCATTTAACTAAGATATACTTTAAGCACTTTTGTAATTGTCACAATGTACACAATAATAATATAATAAAAATTTTAAAATAAATCAAATTAGAGAAATTCAAAGACAGATATATACATTGCAAGAGAAAATCATATTGGTATCCTCACCAGCAAATATCCCATGATAATTCCTTTATTTGGTTTCCTTTTTAAATGAAATATAGGTTGTTACCATAACTGTTTGAACTCAAGAACAAGGAAAGAAGGAAGGATGGAAGGGAGGGAGAAAAAGAGGAACATAGAAAGGACAATAGGTGATTTTTGTCTTCAAAACACTTGTCAAAATATTCTTGTTTACATTTACACTTGGTTTGAACTATCCAATTACTCACACCAGTGATCCTGGTTAGTCTCATAGAGGAATTCAGTTCTATAACATTCAGCACAACTATCTGACATCTGTCCTTGGAATATTACACCAGGATACCAAGGAGTCATGGTACTAAGGCAAATCACAAGTCAGAAACATAAATTCTTTAAATTTGTTGCTAATGTTATTACCAATCCTAATCAAAGAAAAACCTATTTCAACAACAGATATTAACCAAACATACATATTTTTATCACTTTTCCATCACTGAGTTCTGCTTTTTGACCCACAACTTCCTCATGGCATTTTTCACCTCTGCATTTCTGAGAGTGTAGATTATGGGGTTCAGCATGGGGGTGATGACTGTGTAAAACACAGCAACAAGTTTGTCCACAGTGAAGGTGGAGGAAGGTCTCATGTAGATGAAGGTGGCAGGTCCAAAGAACAAGATGACCACTGTGATGTGAGAGGCACAGGTAGACAGGGCCTTGCGCCTCCCCTCTGCAGAATGGTTCCTCAAGCTGAACAGGATGATGACATAGGAGGAGACCAAGAGGAGGAGGGAGAAGATAGAAATTAGCCCACTGTTGACCAACACAATAACCCCCTCCACAAAAGTGTCAGTGCAAGCAAGCTTGAATAATGGATGGAGGTCGCAGAAATAATGGTCAATTACATTGGGACCACAGAAGGGCAAGGGAATGGTGATGAGAACCTGAATTATGGAGTGAACAAAGCCCCCCAGCCAAGAACCAGCCACCAGCATGTGACACCATTGGCAACTCATAATGTTCATATAATGAAGGGGCTTGCAGATGGCCACATAGCGGTCATAGGCCATCACCACAAGCAAAAGGATCTCAGCAACCCCAAGGAAATGAGAGAAGAATATCTGAGCCAGACAGCCCTTTAGAGAGATGGTTTTAATCTTGACAAGTAAGTCAGTGATGAATTTAGGGACAATAGTAGAGGAGTAACAGACTTCCACCAAGGACAGGTAGCTGAGGAAGATGTACATGGGGGAATGCAGACTCTTCCTGACACTGACAGTCACAACAATGAGACCATTGCCCACCACTGTAGCCAGATACACCGGAAGAAAGACCACAAAGCACACTATTTGCACCTCTGGATCCTGGAAAAGGCCAGTGAAAATTAATTCAGTCACATTGTTAGTAGTGGCCATGGAGTCAATTCAGGTGTGCTAGACATCAGTAGTGAGAATCCTGCAATAAAACAATGATTTTAGCACAATCCATTTCATGGAAAGCACTCTAGAGAGCAGAAACCAATTTATAACACATTTACTACTTAATTTTTTCAAATGTATTCTTATTCAACATTAAATATTAGCAATATAAGACTTCATATTATTTTTAGTTCCTGAAAGTGGAAATTTAGATTTCCGTGATTATTTACCCATAATTGCATAAAAATAGTAAATTCTAAGACTCTGAACATTCTTGATAACTTTCTGTCCATGGATCTTTTTAATTCACTATGAGTATTCTGAATTTGGAAAACTATTCACATAAATACCCTGTGCTGGTATTATCTTCACTGCATTTTGGTAGCTCTTTCTCTTGGGGAAATCCCTTTGACACACTTCTACTACTGTTTACTTCTTCTGTGCTACAGGGAATGTCTTAGTCCGTTTTCCATTACTTTACCTGAAGACCACAGACTGGTCATTTATAAGGAATAGCATATCGTACTAAAGGCTGGTAGCTCCAAAAGCTTGATTCAGGTCCCTGTTCAGTAGTCCTTCCTGAACTTGGCATGGCAAAAGATATTGCATGGTAAGAGAGAGCAAGCATGCCAAGGAGACATCCCATTTATAACCATGCTGTAACCTTCTATAACCCTCATCTCCAAAAACCATAAATTTTCCACCATGAATTACATGGTATCCAGCAAAATCACACTATGTTATATTCTCACTGGAAATCCTCCTCTATCCCAACATCATTTTTTTTTTACAAAATCAGAGAGCAGGAAAGCAGAATAGGTCCTATCTAAGAAAGTTGGTACCAATGGGATTAGGGAGGATGTGGGAAAAAGGTGTGAGAGAGTGATTATGATGCAAATACTGTATACACATGTATGTAAGTGAAAAAATGAGACCTGTTGAAACTATTCCAGGAATGAGGGGGAGGGGATAAAGGAGAATGATGGAGGGGGTAATTTAACTATGTACTTCTGCAAGTGTCACAATGTACTTCCAGAACAATAATAAAGTAAATAAATTCATAAATAAAGCACAGTATTTCCCTTAGCCAAAATATCCTCTCTTTATTCTTTCAAATCCTACTTATCTTCCAAGTACAATCCCAGTCCTGTTTGTTCAATGAGTCTTATTTTAATTACCCAACCTAAATGTATCTTTTCTACTACAAGCACTGTAAAAATACTTCCTCAACACTCACAGCATAAATTCTAATATTCTTAGGAGTTCAAAGTCCTTCTTAAATGGCTCTTATCCTGCCTTTGTACTCTTATACTCATTTTCCAAATAAACACTACATAGTGATTTCCTAACATGTTATCCATTCTTCTCTGTTAAATAGTCCATCTTTCTACATTGCACAAAGAAGCTCACTACTACAAGAATAAAATACTCTCACCTTTTGTTCCTATGACATATTGTCACACGTATTTCATAATACTTAACAGGTTATTCAGTAATTGTGGTGTGTGTGTTTTATTTTCCACAAAAAATATACTATTCCAGATTTCAAAATTGTTAATATTTTCTTAATCATTATTACTTTCCTTTTAATACATAGTCATAGATAGCATTTCAATAGTGTTTATTGTATGCCACATACTTTATAATAACTCTGTATGTATGTATTAATTCATTCATTTTGATGAGAAATTTTCAATGTATCTAATTATTATCATTTCTTTTGTACATAAGAAGAAACAGGTAAGTCAATTAACTTACCTAAGGTTACATAGCAGTAGAGCCAGGATTAAAAATGAGGCAGCTTAACCACAGACCCTGTGCCCATTATTCAAAAGAGTACACCAGTAGTAGCCTTAGTGTATGCACATATACATAAATGAAGAGTTCAAGTTAAATATGACATTTTATAAAAAGTTGAAATTATATTTAGTTGCTTACATAAACACAAACCTCTTATCTGTGCTTCACTCAATCTATTTTCAACCCATTCATTAACAAAATATACTGGAACCAATCTGAGACTTCACTCAGAGGTTGAATAATTGTGTAAGATCCAGTGTTTCTTGGTTCTATCCTCAACAGGAGAAATATCTGGTAGCTTTCCTCTTTAAAAACTACTTTGCAATGTCATCCCTGTCTTTTCTGAGTTTATTCCTCTGTCCTTTTCTGTAAACCCCAATTACCAAATCCCACTACAGATCCCACTTAATTGGTGAAAAATACAATCCACTCTCTACCCACAATGTGTCCTTAAAAAGAAGCATAAAAAGATAAGGAGACCAGCATATAAGGGCAACAATCAATATGTGAACATGTAGAGTTTACAATGAGTAAAGCCCTGGACTTCGGATCAGAGCATCACAATAGAATGCAAAGAATAGCAACTAAAGAAAAATATGAGACAAGTGCACATGCCAATGTGCCTTACCTGAGAGTGAAGTAATAAAATATCTTTGCCACTCATGGGCTCCCACTTGGTGAGTCCCAAATGTTAATTCAAGGAACTCAAATTCTGAGAAAGACTTAAACAATAAAAATTTCTTAAATTCATTCCTCCACCCCAAAAATGATTCAAACAATCACCTCATTTCACAAATGAGCCTTTTAATCATAAGAGAAAAATTAAGTTCCCAACATCCTATGTCTGCTTAGAAACTTTGCCTCTTACTTTTCTATTTATATCTCCTACCTTATGTCAGAAGAGCTGCTATGTTCTTGCTCTGCCTTGGAATAATAAATTGAACCAAAAAGATTTCAAATACACTTGATATGTCCCCAGTTCAGCATGAAATTAGCCACTCAGTCATAGTAAACTACTACCCAAGAACATGTTCAGGTTTGTGAGAACTGGGCTGGAAGGAACTACTGGATTCCTCCCTTTAAATCCTAGTCCTTGAGCGAATTCACTACATTACCACTGAAGACCCCAGTGAACCAAGTCCAGCTCACACTCATCTAAGGCACTCTTAAGAGGAGAGCTATAAGATTATAGGGAAATATTGTTGTAATTCTTTATGCTTATAATCAGGTACCAAAGGTAGATATTAATTGGCTCCCCAAAACCACACTCTAATAATTTGTTGCTCAGAAATCAGTGCTCTTTCAAATATCAGGCTGTCTTTATGATATGTGATGGTTGTTGCTACTGCAACTCAAGGGCTGGTTTTGTCCCCACAGACAAATCACCAATGGCCCTGGGAGCATTTACAAAACAAAGTAGATGTCTAAGACAAATAACCAACAAAGAAAAATTCAGGACATCTTATGAGAATTGGGTTTGTAATATTCAGGAAATAAACAAAATCCATAAACAGAGCAAAGTCAGAGATTACAAGATCCTGTTTTGGATGTAGCTATCCTACCATACACACAAAGTCCAAAGGTTGTGATTAAATGCTGAGATCCTTGAACTATTCATAATAAATTACCACCACACTATAATCAAGGGACTAAATTCCTCCATGGAATTCCTTTTCCTTATAGTGAAACTTTGTCAAATAAACTATGACTGGGGAAAAGCTTCAAAATCTGTTTCAATTTAATTATTTTATAGACATTTCCAAATTGTTTTTGTACCCAATAAGAAGAAGATACAAATACAAAGTTAATACTAACATATGAAGAGGGCTTTTACCTAGACTTGCCTACTGAAAGTAATTACTAGAGTGAACAAAGAAAAAAATACCCTTCATTCAAGAGTTGACTATCTGACTACAGCCATGCCATTTCACCTCTTCACTTTCATTCTCCCCTTTCCACTTCTATATAAAAATGATTTAGCCTAGACTATCTTCATTACATGTTTCAATTCCAACATGTATTCATGTGTAATATTCATGCAGAATGTGATTTAGTCTACTCATAACTTTGTTTCTTAGTCAGTGATGATTGTGGTCACAATTATGGAAAATGACAAGAATTTCCTCTGGGAGATATGCATTCATCTATCCACTCATTCATCTATCCACTGAGTCCCTTGCAGTGCCAGGAACTGTTCTAGGTATTAGAGACTAAACAGTGAAAAACAAAGTCTCTCAACTCATGAAGATCACATCCTTCATACCTCCCACAGGACATCTCATAATGGAAATATGACAGAAAATAAACAAATGAGATTATGTGTGCAATTTACACTGTAATAAGTCCTATGAATAAGAGAAGAAACAATAAGAATGGCAGGAAGTGCTGGTGGGCATTATTTCATAGGTGGTAACAAGAAAAGGTCATCTCCAGTCAAGAAATTAGGGTATTGACCTACAGGAATGCAACACAGATTACTCCAGAGGCATCTGCACACCGATGTTTATTGCATCTATTCACAATAGCCAAGTTATGGAAACAGCCAAGATAGTGGGAAACAGCCCCACTACTGACAAATGTGTTAAGAAAATGTGGTATTTATGCACAATGGAATTCTACTTAGTCATGAAGAAAAATGAAATCTTATCATTAGCAAGTAAATGGTTGAAACTGGAGAACCATTCTCAGCGAGGTTAGCCAGGCTCAGAAGACCAAAAAGCATATGTTCTCCCTCATATGCAACTTTAGATCTAGGGCAAATACAGCAATATGATTGGATTTGGGTCACATGATAAGAGCACACACGGGAGGTATGGCAATAGGTAACAAACCCAAAAAACATGATAGTATTTGAAATCCTCACTGCAGAGGAACTAATACAGAAATTTTAAAGTAACAGAAGTCAATGTGAGAAGGGGATCAGGAACTAGAGATGATTCAACTTAGAATGTAACACGTTTATACATGGAAGCAATGCTAGGAATCTCCCTGTATAGCTAGCCTTATCTCAACTAGCAAAAATGCTTTGTCTTTCTTATTGTTTATATGCTCTCCTCAACAAAATTAGAGATAAGGACAGAACAGATTCTGCCTGAAAGCAAGGCAGGGTGGGGGAAAAATGGAAAGGGAGGGGAGAGGGGGAGAAGGGGAAGAAATGGCCCAAACAATGCATGCACATATGAATAAACGAGAAAAAA